GTTGATGTCATCCTTTTAATGTATATAACTTTCCTAACGCTAGTTTATAAATATGTATTGGTATAAGACACACACCTTCCCACCACCCGGCAACAACTATGGCACCTGGAATATTATGTCTCTGAACGCCAATCAACTCTACGCAATGAAACGAGAAATCTTAAGTTTAGCCAATTACAGACCTTCGATAGAAACAGGCTTTGTCTGCTCACCTTTCAATTGGTAGGATCCTCAGTTTTAAGTTGTCAGAGATATTCTAGGCCTCTTCTCCGGACCATTCGTCCGCTGGCTGCTGATTTTCTCTCCTCCTCAAAAACGCTACTCATGACGCACCACGTCGCCCACGTCATGCACGTCATCACGTCGGGGAAACACATTCTGTGTGGGGGGCAGAATCTCTGCTCCGCGCCGTTTCCTATATGAGCCGGGTTCTCAAAAGAAGGAAAAATTCAAAGCAGCCAGGATAAGGGGTTAAAACAATAATCCTGCTTTAATGGTGGAAATCAAACCTACAATACTTCCCCTTAATCACGAAGCACTCGGCAGAAGTAACTCCGGGCTCAGGTTCTACCAGCCGTGTGAGAGCACGTCTCAGGAACGGCGAAGTCAAAAAACAAGAGAGCGCTGATCTTCAAAAATGATCACAACATTTATACACAGAGTTCACTCTGAGCGAGCTAGACAGTGAGTTGGTAGTGTTCATTGGTTTGGTGTTCCCTTTCTGGGCGGGACTCCAGGTAGCAAGTCTGCAGTTGTGATTCCATGTTGCTTCTGCTGCGTGCGGTGTGTGTGTGTGTGTGTTTGTCCTCTGCCCTCAGGCAGATCCCCCAGATCAATGATTCTGAGTCTGACAGGGGACTCTTTGACAGGACACATACTCCATTCCCCTAAAACATCTTCAACACACACAAACATCGTATGCATGTATCTTAATCACACAACAGTCACCTGTTTTTTCTCTATGAAAGCACATATTTGTAAATATCCAAATGCCATCGCTCCATGGACAGTCCCGCATCAGTCAACCAACATAAGTTAATTGTTCCTGTGGCTTAATGGCTTCCTGAAACTTCCTTAGCCCAAAGTCAGCTTAGCTAGGAATGAATAGCCATTTATGTGATAAGCTCAAAAGGAGCGTTATCTGTGTTTACCTGCTCGGTGACCCAAGTCTCAGGCCTGCAGGAATCTGTAGGGAGATAACACATTAATTCTACGAAGACTTTAACGGCCTTATATCTGAAATGTATCCGGAATCGGACTGTTTGACTGCCAAGGACTTTTGATAATTACAACAGAAAGACGCCTAGGGGGCCTCTCTGGTATCTGCTAGGCAGAAGTCACTCAAATGCAGAAATCACCAGTTTAACACACATTCTATATAAGGTGACATTAAAATGAATATACCAGATTGAACTTTCCTGCCATAACACGTTGCTTTAATACTTCAAATAATTCAAATAATACTTCAGTTCTTCTAATTAGTGTCTACAGTGTGTGCCTATTGAGCTGTTTAGAGCCATGTGGGACAAAACCCGATCATGCCCCTCCCTCTCACTGTATAAGTAAACGGTGACTGTAAAAACTACACTGCGCATGCTCAGAGTATTGTCCTATTTAATGTGTGTGGCAAAAAATAATGACCATAGGGGCTCACTAGCTGCCATCCCCACCATACGTCATCTCACATCATTCAGAGCTGATTGGCTGTAAGTACGTGTGCCGCGAAAAGTGTGGTGTGTGAAGAGCAGACGAGAGACGCGTCCTAAAACCCGGAAGTAAGCTGCGCATGGGTTCCCTCCACAAAAAAGCAATGAGATTTCTCCATGATTTTAGAAAATAGCTCAAAATAAGATCTGTGGAAAACAAACCTGTTAGATAAATGCACGTTTTGTTCAGCCGGATAATATCCACATGTCTACCCTACTTTTATAATTTTCTAATCATACATCTATCGATTAGATTTATGATAGAGTTTTGAAACGACAAGAAGATAAGGAGGACTTTTACAAAAAAGTAATAGATATTTTTATCCAGAAGGATAGGCCAATGGACTTCATCTTCAAGTCAAGGTAAGACCACAATCTTATTGGAAATGGGATCTTACTAAGAGAGAACAATTCAATATTTAAAGGATAAAATTACATGTTTTGGGTACCCTTTTGTTGAACTGTCTGTTTAAAATTAATCGAAGCATCAGACAAAAAAAGCTTTTGAAAATAATATTATATTTTGATTTAGGTCAAAATAAAATATTTGTAAACCTGAAGAGTCAGTGCCAGTGCCTCACCAGCCATGAACCTCACTGCAGAAGCTTATATATAGACATCTAAGTTTTTTTGTGCCCCACCACTTTTGTACATATAGAAACGCCACTGCCCGTGCTAAATTAGTGTCCGCGCTCCAGCCAGTTTCTGTAGGGTTTATTTGAGGCAGAGCTCGTCCCTGCCTCACTTCTTTTGGTGATGGTGTTAGTGTGATCAGTCCATGTCAGGTCCTCAATGATCAGTCAATGTCAGGTCCTCAGTGATGTGGACACCGAGGAACCTGAAACTGCTGACTCTCTCCACCGTAGTCCCATTGATGGTGATGGGGGCGTGTCCCTCTCTCTGCTGCTTCCTGTAATCCACAATCAGCTCCTTGGTTTTGCTGATGTTGAGATGGAGGTTTTTATCTAACAGCTTCGTTTTCCACAGACCTTATTTTGAGCTATTTTCCAAAATCCTATGGAGAATCCCATTGCTTTTTTATCGAGGGAACCCATGCGCAACTTACTTCCGGGTAAATACGTCATCCCTGCACCACTCTATTGGGATGATAGACATATGGAGGAGTCTCAACCCTTTTGAAAAAGACTCCACCCATTATTCGGCAACACACAATGTACACTCAAGGATAGATTACTTTTTTATGAATATTGGTGATAGATATAGGGTAGCTGAATGTAAGATAGGAGGTGCAGATATACCGGACCATAACACCCTGTTTTAAAAAATACACTTAAATGCCAGATAAAGACAAACAATCTGGAGACTTAATGTGGGAATTCTAAATAATAAAGGGTTGGTGGAGGAACTGAAAAAATACATTAGGCAATATATGCAAGGAAATAGCAATAAAGAAGTTGAACTGACATTGTTTGGGATGACCTGACATTGTTTGGGATGCCCTCAAAGCGGTCGTTCGAGAAGATAAGGATATCAGAACCATTCTATAAGATTAAGAGAATTGGAGCAGCAATACCAAAAGACAAACAACCAAAAAGTATATGAACATATCAAGGAAACCAAAGCCAAGATAAATAAAATATTATAATATTTGATATAATATATGAAAATTAGGGATCCATGTACCAATGAAGTAATATATGAACCAGAAGACATAGAAAGAGTATTTCAGAGGTTCTATGAAAAACTAAAACCACCTGCTACCCTTCTGAATGGTACAATGTGTTAAGAGATGATTTGATGCCTGCACTGAACCTCTTTTAATTGGACTCTCAAAGAAAAATAAATTGCCACCAACATTGGCAGAAGCAATTATTTCAGTCATCCCGCAACCAGGTAAAGAGAAGGACAGATGTGAAAATGATAGACCGATCTCAGTGCTAAACATAGATTATAAATGATATACGTCAATTATTGCCAAAAGAATAAACACCTTCATAGCAGAATTAATAGACGAAGAACAAACGGGATTCATACCAAACCCAAGACAATATCCGAAAAACTCAACTAATAATTGACCCGGCACGAAGAGGGGAAGCAAAGCACAGTATTGATAAGCGTTGATGCTGAAAAGGCATTCAATTGTGTTAATTGGGAATGTCTTTGTAAGGTATTGGAACGATTCAGATTCAATAATAAATCAGTACAATTGATTAATACCAGCATGATTTTGATACCAAAAACCTTCTGCTAGAATAAAAATGTATTGAAATCTGACGGAGAAAATATGGTTGCAGAGATCGACTAGACAAGGATGCTGTCTTTCACCTATCCTTTTCGCGTTTTTAATCGAGCCTTTAGCTCAAGCAGTCCGACAAAATAAAGTACTTAAAGGGGTCACAATTGGAGATGCAGAACATAAAATTGGGCTTTTTGCTGATGACATTATTGCTTTCCTCGAACAACCAAACACAACACTCCCCAGTTTGATGAAGCTCTCAGGGTATAAGATTAATATTTCAAAAACCCAGGTTTTAGCATGTAATTATATTCCACCAAAACCGATCCAGGAATCATATGACCTTAACTGGAATCTAAAGTAAATTAAATATTAGGGTGTGATGATCAGTAAAAACATCTCTGATTTGTATAGAGCGAATTAAGACAATTTAAACCAAGACATAACAAAATATATATCAAGGTGGTCTACCTTACCACTCGACCTAAACTCAAGAATTGAAATAGTTAAACTAAATGTTCTACCGACATTTTTCTATCTATTCCAATCTTTACCAGTAGAGGTCCCCCAAGGTCAATTTATAAATTGGGATAGAATGATATCCAGATTTGTTTGGGGGGGCAAGAGGCCAAGGGTTAGGTACAAAACTCTCCAGGTACCCAAAGAAAGACGCGGTATGGCTTTGCCAAAATTGATGGAGTACTACTATGCTGCTCAGCTAAGACCTATTTACTGTTGCTGTAAATCGGAATTTAGAGCAAAATGGAAAGATATGGAAAATTAAGTAAACCAAATTCCAATTCAAAGTATGATTGAGGATTACAAATTGTATAAGGAACTCAAAACTAATATAGGTCCGATAACAGTACACAAATTAGATCTGTGGTTTAAAGTACTGAAAATATATAAGATTCAAAATGATGCAAATATAATAAAATGGGTAGCTTATGATGGAAACTTCAAGCCTGCAAAATATGATCAAGGTTTTAAACAATGGGTAGCAAAAGGAATAACAGCTTGGTGTGTTTTGGTTAAGGAAGGGTAGCTGGAGAGGTTTGATAATTTGAGAAGACAATACAAATTGGGAACACATGAACTCTATAGATACCTTCAGCTAAGGGACTATTACAAGAAGGAAATCAGATCAGATTCTTCCAAGGAGTTGAATAATATTATCCAAATATATACTAAAACATATCAGGAAAGTAACATAAGAATCATTTCGGCATTATATCAAGGATTTATCAAAAATGACAGACACTCAACCAAATATATCAAGGTTAAATGGGAGGAAGAACTCCATATACAAATATCAGATGAAGATTGGCATGATATGTGGAGGACCCATCATTAATCCGCTAGTTTGCGAACCTGGAAGGAATTCTCGTGGAAGAATCTGATTTGTTTCTTCATTACACCAAAGGTGAAAAGTAAACAGAACAGTCGACAGAAGTGTTGGCGAGAATGTGGTTCCATGACAGAAAATAATTGTATTTTGGGAAATGATATGTAAGGAATACGGTATACGTCTAATAATTGGGTATGAGGTTTCTAAAAGTTGCTTGGTACTCTATTTATGTAAATTCAATGAGGAAATGATTGCAAGTGACAGATATTTGCTAACAATTTTGCTAACATCCAGCAAGAAAGCTATCACTAGGAATTGGGGTAAGGAAGCACCACCAACAAAAAAACAATGTAACAATTGTTAAATGATTGTAATGTTATTGTAATTAGCATGTAATTGCCATGTACAATGTGACAATAAAGATTTAATTTACAAAAAAAATTAAATGTTGTTTTTAGGTCAGATTAAGAGCTACTAACACAATCATCATTACCCTTGTGCCATCAGTGTGAAATGTTCTGAAAATATGTACAGAATTTATATCAAAGACCCTTTCTCTTTCCTGGGGACAGGTTTGCTGACTCAGAGGGGGAGTCCGTCCCTCTCTCCCCCCAGCAGGGCTCTGGGGGTACTGACTGGCCGAGCGACCGACCAGAGGAATCAGACAACCAGAGGAACGTCAGAAGAACCTGCCAATCCTCCATCCATGTTCCTCCTGTGACTATCACCTCCCCCCCTGGAGACACCACCCTCATACAGAGTCAGTTCACTATGCCACTTCCACAGCAGCATTACATCCAAGTTCTGTTTTCATGGAAACACAAGTTGTGCTGAGTAAAGATACGCTGTTTACTTTAAGAAAGCAGGATGACAAACTTTGCAGTGTGTCCAAATAACATGGCAGAGTATAAATGGTTTGGTGACTTACAGGAAATACATTTTTCACTCAAGTAATAAAGACGGTCGGGACGTGCAAAAAAAGGATCCGTCTGTACTAGAAGTGGGAATGTTGCAGACTAAGGTTGGCTCTGTGACATCTGGGCCCTAGAATGGATGTAAGGCCCCAAATCCAGCAGGACAGAGGCTTTTTTATGAGATTGTACACACTGAAAAAACTGAAACGTTGACTTTAAAGGTCCCATGTCATGGCCATTTCAACTGATCATAATTCCATTGTTGAGGTATACTAAAATACATTTATACTGTGTAATTTTCCAAACTCACATTGGTTTCTCATACAGCATCTATGTAAAGCATGTGTTTTCACCGGTATTCACTCTCTGCCCTAAACGGCATGTAGGAGCTCCTGCCCCCCCCCCTTCCCTGTGAGCCCAGTGTGCTCTGATTGGTCGCGAAGTTGAGAGGCTCGTTGCTGCTCGCAGCTGCGAGGAGCAGACAGGCTGTCCGTGTCGGCGATACAGGAGAACAAGCGAAACTCATCCTGAGCACACACAAACACTCACAGACGAAGTAAAAACAATACTGTAAGTGTGGCTTGATATTGAGTAAGAAAAAGGTTTATAACGCTGTGAGAATGGGTCTGCGGGGAGCATTTCTCCGCCATCCCAACGTAGTAGCCCGAAAAACGTTTACCCATTTAAACAGTCGTGGTAGATACCTTGTTTGTTTTAAACATCATAAATACACAAACAACAATGAATACTTACAAGTTGTGTACCCGAATCTCCCGCTGATCCAAACAAAATAGGAACCGCATGGTTCTTCAGTGCCCTACACTGTACATATCCGTCATGAATCGCTGAAAGGTTTGGGAAGCTTTGTTTCATGAAAGGCTGACAGAGGGTGTGGCCTCCGGGTATCCCCACGTCAGAGTGTCCAGGAAGTAAACAATGGAAAATGAGAAATCTCCAACGAGGCGTTTTGGGGGGTCTTTTCTGTGTTAGAGTTTTACTCCCTACAGGGTGTACTTTGAGGGGTTTTGACTCTGTTTACATGCAGAAAAACCTTCATAACACACAAGGGGACGGGTAAGAACCGGAAAAGCATGACATGGGACCTTTAATTAAATATATTATGTCAACAGATTTCACACAATTGTATTAGGTTAGTGGAAAGCAATAATATTAAGTTGAACCTAATATTTTTTATTTAAATGTAATATTATTGCTTTCAACTAACCTGATATAGTAATGTGAAATATGTTGACATAATACATTTCATTTAAGTACATTCTTCCGTTATGTCAGTGTGTACATTCTTCCAGACAATAGTTGTTGCAGGGACCAATCAGAACACATGTTGGTTACATTTTGACTACAGATTCTTTCATTGTGTCCGATGTTTGAACAATATATCTAGTTTACCCTCCCATGGAGTTTTGAGGACAATCAATTAGATGTGTAGAATGTTGATGACTGTTCAATGCTCTGACATGTCAATACTTAAATCATATCTCCAAATTGAGTAGGGGGATTACCTATTAGATGAAGACAGACAGTCAGACGTAACGGTGATGACCCTGCCTGCATTGTTGTAAACTGTGTGTGTTTTCAGTGAACAGTATGGACTGTGAGACCATGCCCATGACTGATAAGACCCTGGCGGAGCTGGGTCCAAGTGGACCCAAACCCATCCTGCCTTACAGTTCTATGTTCATCTTTGGACAGACCAACCCGTGAGTCACCTCCTCATCCTCCATCTTTTCCTTTCCCTTCTGTAGGACCTCCTATATGCTACAGGAGTTACACCACAGAGATTGTGTAATATGTATGAAGAAGGGGGCTAATATTCCCCAAAAGTAAAACATATATTTGAAAGGGAAAAACTTTGTAACAATAACATCCAGTAGATTACCTAATCAAATTATATTGCAGTCAGATGCAGCGATAAGAATAACCTGGTGATTTTAGCACAGACATCTCATTAAAGCTTCCAGGATTTAAAGAGATATTTGTGCTTTTCAAGAAAGCAACATACTCATTAGAACATCTGGATATAAGAAACAATGAACAGATAAAGAATATATCAATGTTGCATACTGTTAGACCTCCTGGCTAACATGTGGCATTCCTTGTTATTGATATTTCTCCTGGAATATTGCCCCTTTCTGTAAAATCAGTTTTACCTACCAAGGCCCTAATACTCTGTCTTTAACTTGTGTGCTTATCAGATACACTTAAGAGGTCAGAGTATGGCTGCAACACTCTGTATGAATAATTTATGTATATATTTATATTTATATATATTTATATTTATTATATTATATTATATTATATTATTATATTATTTATATTTATATTTATATATTTATATCAGATTACAGGCATGGCTGTGGCTTCTACTTAGCTTTTATATCAACATTAGATGCATACTCACTGGATAGAATGAAACACTTACTTCATTTTTTCTTCACATATTGTTGTGTTGGCATTTTGCATATGTCCTGGTATTTCTTCATAGTGTATTTTACTGCTTGATTTGTGTATCATTTATATTTATTCATATTGTTTCTTCCAGGATTTATGCTGAAAAGGCATGCAGTCTATTTATTACATGATGCTGTTGTCTTATTTTTACCACTATCTAAATAAATGTATTTTTCCATTTGTATAAGTTGTCAGAAGACCATACTCATGACACACAGCTAAGGTGCAAGAAGGCCAAAATAGTCCAATATGGAGAAGGGAGGCTGAGCACAAGCTTTTCTCACTAAACTCAGGTCACTTTGTTAACAAAATGGGGAAGTCACTTCACAGAGTCCGTAATGTCAGAACTCATAGAGCTCAACCATCCACCATCCGAGTATCATAACTCTGAGAATAAAACAATACATACATCAGGTTGTAGTGTGGACTTAGGTAGACATAAGTCTTTGATCTTGTGTCTCAGGCTTCCTGTGTCACTTTGTGAACTGTTTTCTCATGTACAAGTGTAAAAAGCCACAAGTGTGCTTTATATGGTTTGCCATATATTGTCAAATATTCGTTGTCCTAAGTGTGTATGTTTTTTTTGCTTTTTAGGTTATTTTTTTATAAATTAAATTCCTTTTTTGTGCAAATACTTTCCTTTATTCTATGTTATTGCTAAATAGTATATTAAAAATAGTTATTCGTATTATCTTTATATTTTTCAACTATTCATAGAACTTATGTTCTTAGATTGTTTATGTCTGCGCCAACAGACCCCAAAGCACATTCCTCGTATGTGTGGCAATAAACTGGATTCTGATTTTGAAGTGTATTGAAGCACCAAACTGAGGAGATAGAAGCTATTCTATGTGTGGGTCCACTGCTCTCATGTGGCCACCTGTCTGTCCTCAGGGTGAGGCGGTTATGTCACTACATCGTGACTCTGCGATATTTTGAGATGAGCATCCTGGTTGTGATTGCTATGAGCAGTATCGCTCTGGCAGCAGAGGACCCGGTCTGGACCAACGCCCCGCGCAACAATGTGAGTCACAGTCTACACGTACTTCACACATAAACACATATATTTTAGCCTCACTGGAAAAAATGCTGCTCCAAGATCAGGTAAAAGAATATAAAAACAAGGCCAAGAGAACAAGTGAAAATGTGCTTGGTAAGATGTCTTGAAATAAGAAGGGGTGTTTAGCTAATCAGATCATGTAAAAAGCTGGGAAATCTTATTTTGAACTATATTTACCAGTATCAGGACATGTAGTGTTACAAAATAAGCTAGAAATGCTCAAAAGTGTTCTGTTTCCTGATGTAGATTGGTGATATTCCATTAAAAAGTTTTTTTCTAAAATTGAGTAAGATTTATTTCTTAAAACATTACATTACATGTTACTTGTTAGACACTTTTATCCAAAGCGACTGACATTCTCAATTCTGTGGGCAATCCCCACAAGAGCAATTTTGGGTGAAGTGTCTTGCCCAGGGTTTGATCCTGTGACCATCTGATCCCCAGACCAAGGCTCTATCAACTACACCACACGCCTCTCTTAAAACAAAAGTATACATATTTTACAAACACCACAGCAGCTTTAAGAGACTTGTTTCTTCTATATTCAGTGTGGTATGACAGCATATACGGAACATTTTATTATTTAATTTTAGAGCCAGTGGAGGTGGGTAGTATTCTGAAAAAAATACTCACATATTGTGTATTTGCAGTTGTTTATTTACAGGAAAATAGTTATCTGTTTCGGCACTGATTGAGTTTTCTTTGCAGGTGCTCAAATATCTGGACTATGCTTTCACCGGGGTTTTCACTTTTGAAATGGTGATCAAGGTAATCATGTCAATAAATACACATGTCAACACTCATAACTTCATGACTTCCTTTTTATTCATTTAAAATAATAAATGATATCCTACTTTTAAATGTGGTTAGCTGTAATTTGGCCCGTTATAGTGTTTATTTGACCGGTAGTCTACATAGTTTTATCTATGCATATAATTTACTTTTTACTTCGGCTTTATTGTCTATTTTCAGATGTTTATATTTAATGTTTATTTTGGTTTATGTTCTACTCTATTTCATTTTCACATTATGTGCAATGCCTGTTACAAACATGCTGCTGTGACCAACACATTCTCACTCCCAACTCGGCCTATGTTGACATTATGTCAGAGTCCCGTAGATTAACGTCCCTGTAGCTTCTTATTGCACTTGCAATATACCATTAAAGGAGTTGAACGTTGCTGTTTGCTATTACTATAATACCACGCAGGAATAAGCCACAGTTTACAACCTTTTCGGGCACAACACTTTTTGACTCAGATGAATTAGCTGTACCATATGATATCGCCCGAGGAAGTCGTCATACTTATACATATATAATAAAGATATATGTGTCAAAGCTCTAATCAAATTAACAGTTGTATTAATTATACTTGTATATGTATATATATATAATGTATATAGCCTGTGTTGTATATTTATACACACAAATGAACAACCTTGTGTGTGTCAAATAGCAAGTTGTATTGGAGTGTTTATTTTAGTGTTGTTTTATGCTTATCCACATTTTGATTTCAGAGCACAGGAGAATGCCGGGCACAACATAAAGCTCAACAGTGAAGCTGGCAATGCTGAACAAAACCATCTTGAGTTATAATATTTATTCAGCTGAAAAAGTCAAAGCTCTACGAAAATGTAATTAAAAATACATAAGCATTTCAGGTAGAAATCAGCATTTTATATAGAAATTCAAAAAAATAATAAATGAAACCTAAAAGAGATGTTAACACATGTATACCTCTGATGGCTGGCATAGTAGAACTAGGTGAAAAAAATAGTGAAAACAAATGTAAATACAATTTATATAGATTGAAAGGTAATATACTGTATATATATAATATTGATTGCAATTATTATATAAAAAAATCCACCAAACATGATCAACAGGAAAGCCCTAAGAAGGCATTTTATGTTTTGAAAAAAAGTTGAGGATGGGGTCCAGACAGTTCAATCAGGAGAGACTTCATTTTGTTTAAAGAACATTTATTGACACATGTCATATGATAAATATTAAGTCTTTGGCGATTAAACCCCAATCCTGAAATCTTATATCTAAAGGGGGAAATGCAGCCGTGAGCATATAGGGAACCTCCCCGGGGTCTAGACGCTGGTGATGATGATGAAGATCTGGATTTGATGAGGAGGTGGGTGGAGAGGAGGCGGGTGGCAGCATGAACACCTGAAATCACAGCTGACTGCAGGAGAGAGGAGAACCATTTTAAAGTTTGGCTGCAGCTCGGTGATTGGCTGCTGGAGACTGAGGTGAATGTAATAGGTTAAAGACAGCGCCCGTGATGAGCTGATTATAAGCAGCTGCGGAGTGAATGTATACATGTTGGCCGTTTCTCAATCGCGAGTACGCTTGCTTGGTAGCACATGTCTTCCGAGTCACTTCCTTCAGAAGCTAGGCAAGAATCCTAGGTTTTGGGACACTCTACTTTTTTAGGTAACGAAAACAGCTCCTTGGTACGTCGAGATGAAGGACCAAAATACTACGCAGTGACCGACGTGAGCAGTTATACGTCGGCTTATATTTGTTCCAGAGAATCAGCCGAGACATGTAGTTACCGGCTGAATAAGACTGTTCATTCACTCTCATCTGTTATCTTCCCATAACCGATATCCCTTAACAGGTCGCTCAAATCCTCATTACTTCCAGATCAGATTAGATGCCATGTACTCGGTATGTAAAGTTGAGACCTACTGTCCTCCGTCTTTCACTAATATGTTTTATTATTATGAGTATTATTATCGTCTGTAAAAAATTATTACTGAGTGTTATAGTAATAAATTAGTTGGTTTAATACTATGATTAACTCCCTTTACTACTTCTATGACTAAATAGTTTACAAATCATGTGTCATCATTACATCAATCACGTTTTATGATAACGTTGTTTACACAATTAACAGGAAGTACAATCAGCAAAAAAAAACCTAATTAGGAGGCCCGTCAACAATGTTACCAGCCGGTGGGCCTCCCGGTTCACCGTAAAATGGGATTACAGATTGGGAAATTTATTATTAGAAAAAGGTTTTACTATTTGGACATTTAAACCTACATCTTTCGGTCTTAGTTATATCTACAAAAAATAAATTTCTGTTGTAGTCTAACTTGTATCATTTTTGACACTTTTAATATCACAGGCGGTTTTCAAATGAAAAATGAATGTCACTTTTGATGGAACCACTACAATTCCATCTGATTTTCGAATCATTAGGTTTCATGTTGTAATATTATTCATGGGAGCATAGTTCTGACTACGTTATTATCACCTGTAAACTGGAAAAGATCTGTCCAAATCGTTTTTTTTTGACTACCAACCTTTCCCCAAAAATGGCAAAAGGACTGTGGGTAACCAGCTAAACCACTAATGTAGAGAAAGACTGAGCAATCTCGGTTATCTTAGTTCCCCTTAGAGGGTGAGTGTGTGTCCTTTTGTTTTTTCCCACCCCCGAAAACGCGTGGCTCAGAACGAGTCTCCTTGCAAAGACATTGAGACTGAAGACTTTTGGTTTTTTTCTGTCTCAAATACGAATAATATATAATACCTAAAAGAAAAGTTTTTAGTAAGTTTTACTGTGTCTTTGTAACCCAATTGGGTCCCCAGAAGTGGAAAAAACTGGTTTTTCGGTAAACGAGGAAAAGGTGTTTGTAAAAAACAGACCTCGGCGTTTTGTCATAAAGTCCGAACATATTCATTCAAATAACATAACAATATAGTCTGTTTTTGATGTCAAAAAAACGTAAGTAATCCGATAAATAATGTAATTATTTTGAAATTGGAGATTATTCTTTGTTTCTTGAGGATATTCCCTCTTATGTTGTATTATGTGTCGATGAAATTTTATTTAATTGTGTCGTGAACCCCTAGGAGACGTGTAACTTCCTTTTTTTGATATAATAACTTTACCCTGGGTGAAACCTATTTTTATTTATATCGACGTGGGATTTTGCTCAATTTCATCCCATGCCAATTCTTACCTCTTTGAATCGAGCACAGCGATCTTAAACTATTTAAAAAAAAACAAAAAAAAGTGTTTGCCTTTTTTAATCCGGAGAAAGGAAGTCTGAAAGAATGTCTAATCGGAGGAGGTTGTGTGTGCTCTGCGCAGAGTAGTTACCTCGGTGCCTCTATTACAAACACGTGTCTACCTTCCGACTGTCCGTCCATCCGTATGGCCAATAAATCGGCCCAGCCGCTCTTTACTAACCAGCACGAAAAATGTCGCGATGCCAAAGGTCTCTAATTAAAAACACACATAAATAACAGTTTCGTAAATTATATAAGTACGATAGCCTGCAATTCTCGTAAGGTACCATTATATTGTTTTTCACAAAGACCTTTATTTAATGTATGGGTACTAAATACTGACTTTAACATCGACAGAAGGAGAGGGAACACAAGGAGCTATGCATTTCCGACCGTCGTCGGCAACTGTTGAAGAGAGAAAAATATAAATTATTAAGCAAAGAAATAAATAACTTACCAAGTTATGGACTGTTCAGCCCTCTTTTTGAACCAGCGTCAAAGGAGTTGTCACGTGAATGTTCCTGTAGATAGTTATACACACATGTCCGGCATAGGTCTAAAGGATTTATAGAATCCAGGTTTGTACGATCCCCTAAGCCCCATATGGGGGGGCTCCTAAAAAACTACGTAGACTAATCGACGAAAAATCTCAGGACACACCCCAGAAGTGTAACCTATATATAACTAAAGTTACAGCGTATTTAGTCAGTATTTAATAAAAATTCAAATTTGTGTATTTTGTCAGCTAACATGATAAATTACTAAGACTGTACGTCTTCTCCGATTTTACTAGTGTCTTCTGTAACAGTTGTAAGTAAAAGGTACAGAGAGAGGAAAGGTTTGAAATGGGAGACGAAGGTAGAAGAACTAGAGAGACAGAAGAAGGACAAGTTAATGAGAGAGACGGGAGATGAGAAAGAGAAAAACGTTAGAGAGGGACAACAGTGACAAACGAGGAGGAGTGAAAGCGAGACAGTCAACTTAATCTTTCGTTAGTCGGTAAATCACGTAAAGTAACAAACAAACGTAATAAAAAAAAATAAACTTGTAGCAAACAAACCTAAGAGTTTTCTATTGTTGCTACATTCGTTTACAAAAAATATGTTAACAATACAATAATACTATGTATTTACGTATTTACATAAAAAAAATTTAATACGGATAAAGATATAACAATTTACTTCCTATAACAACAATATCTATCTACTATCTATCTATCTATCATAATCTCATCTATCTCATCTATCTATCTATCTACACTATAACTATCTACCCCAATAATTCGGAATGATAAGAAAACACACTCGACATGGACGTCAAGGAGGGACTGAAGGTAGGGAAAGAGAGAGAGAGAGTTCCGAATCACATTGAAGGCTGGATAATCATAACTAGGATTAACATGTGTAGTTAGCAATACATGAAAATATAATGCGACTAACGTATTGTCCTAGGGATTGGGTTGGTCGTAAGATACTGGTACTAGTAAATGAGTAGATTTACTTTCGAGTCGCGTTCAAAAAAGTCTTCTGACCCACGGCAAAGAGTTAGCGCTGCTGTAAACCGAAGTTCGGTTTAAAGTTCCTACAATGCACAGCTAGTAGTCGTCCTGGCAAGGTTTACAGGTCGTATAGAACTTTAAGGTGGCTCGGCGGCAGGAACCAAACCCCCATTTACACCCTCGACGTGTACCATCCTGAACACAGGAAGTTTAGGGGTGTTTACGACAACGCGTGCC